TCTTCTACTGATTGGGACACTCTGGGCAGGAAGAGGAAGAAGAGACAGAAAGGAAAGGTCCTGGAATTTATTCTCAGGGTTAAGATCTGGGTTTATGCACTTTGCAGCAGCTTCACATTAGGGACACTGTGGGAAGGCAAATCTGACACCTCTCTCCTTTCCTGTGCAACAATCTCATCCTGTTAGCTGCTATTTCCACATTTTGGATTATTTGGATTATTTAGATTATTAGACCCCTCCAGGTCTCTCTTGTCAGGAGGGTCCCAGAGCTGTCCCCAGCACTGGAGGTGCCCCAGCAGTGCCAGCACAGGAGATTGGCACTCTCCTGGCCCTGTTGGCCACTCTATCCCTGGCACAGCCCAGGGTCAGTGACCTCCTGCCCACCTAGGTACATCTGGCTCGTGTCCATCAGCACCCCAAGGCCTTTTCCAACTCTCCAGCCCCTCTGCACAGAGCTGTTCTCACCCAAATGCAGCATCTTTCCCAATTGTGCCCAGCCAATTCTTAACTCAGCCCAGAGGAACCTGCCCAGCCAATGTGCTGCTGCATTTTCCAGGGATAAGCCAGAGCAGACAGTCTCAAAGGCTTTGAGAAGTCCAGGTAGACACATCCACAAGTTCAYCCTAAGTTCAACGCTTTTATCTCGCTGCCACTGCCATCAAGAAATGGATTAGGATTAGTTTTGAGAGATTTTCCCTCTGAGGTGCCTGAATTTTCGCAGAGCACCAAAGAAGTGGAATTTTCCACAGTTACGGCGACGTGAAAAGATCTCACAACTGCTCACACAAAACCTCCTCATCCACAGCCCAGTGCAGCTTTCTCTGAGAGGGATGAAGGCACAAAGGGCACCTCTGCAGCACCCAGAAATGATTACAAACCTAAGAAAGGCTTGGTTTATCAGAGCAGCTTCGCTTGTCTCCACGAGAGCCACCACCATCAATCAGGAATCAAGTTGTTGCCACTCACGGCAGAGCGAAGCGGAGATAATTCGACACATAAAGCTCTRAATTAGACGTAATTTGAAGAGCAGCGTGCAGGTGTTATTTTTTTATTGGCTATTGTATTGCTTTAATAAAAACAATCTCATTTTGAAAGAGCCATTTAACTTCTTTCCCAGTCAAAAATCACGTGAAAAACCATCTCCCAGGCGAAGGCTGCTTGGAATGCATGTAGCACATCAGATAAAAAGGGGGATGAAAGCTGTAAATTCCTGCTGCTAGGCATTCCTTCATGGAATTAACCACTCAGAATTGTGGATCCCAGAGGTCTGTAACAGCCCTTCCTCCAGCTTTGACAAACACAATCCTGAGCACTTCACCTCCTTGCAGGTTGCCACTCCAAAGCTCATTGCACCGGCCGGGAAACTCCAGCTTTTCAATCTCTTTTCCCCAATACCAAATATAAAACTCTTATTTTTGCTCCTGAGGGTTTTACTGGTTCGCTCCCACATCATCTCACAGGAAGCTGRTGGAAGCTTCCCAGTGTCTGCTAAAGTGCTGAACTGCAGGGATTGTTGCATCTTTTTCTGGCCACAAAAAGAAAAAAATTTCTTTTTCTTAATTCATGGACTCCTTTATTCCATGGAATGCATCCATCCATTATCTCTGCCCTGGAGGCAGGCTGGGAGAGCTGGGGGTGTTTACCTGGAAAAGGGAACGATCCAGGGAGAGCTCAGAGCCCCTTCCAGGGCCTAAAGGGGCTCCAGGAGAGCTGGAGAGGGACTGGGGAAAAGGGATGGAGGGACAGGACACAGGGAATGGCTTCAAACTGCCAGAGRGCAGGGACAGATGGGATATTGGAAAAGAATCCTTCCCTGTGAGAGTGGTGATGCCCTGGCAGAGGTTTCCCAGAGAAGCTGTGGCTGCCCCTGGATCCCTGGAAGTGTCCAAGGCCAGGTTGGACAGGGCTTGGAGCACCCTGGGGTGGGGGAAGGTGTCCCTGCCCATGGCAGGGGGTGGAATGGGGTGATCTTTACATTCCCTTCCCACCCAAACCTTTCTGGATTCTATGAAGGGGAGGCACTCAGTGTCTTCTTGGAGCCTTAAAACAAATGTTAGTACTTGACAAAACAACTGCAAGGTCTAATTCTGACAAAAAGAATAAATACAAACTTCTTCCCCCACTCTGATTTCCCTCTTTGGATTACAATTGCCTCGATAATTCCTTTGAAAACCAAACCCAGCCGAGCAACTGTCTTGGAAATTGAGTAACCTCAGGTTCAGCTGTATTAAAAAACCTCAGCTTCAGGCAAAAGTGCTGGAACAGCTCATTCACAGCGATTTCACCGAAGCCTGGCCCTCATTTGATGTTTTCTGATTACATTTCCATTGTGTCACCRTTCAGCAGCAGCTCTGTTGTGTTGCAGTCTCTGTCACCAATAGCTGACTCTGCCTCCTGCACTCAGCTCTCTCAGCAGCCACAGCCCCACACCCCAATAGGAATTCAGCTCTTTTTGCCATTTTCAGCTCTCAAAACAGTTGTAGGAATCACCAACAAGTTCCAAAACTTAAAACAGAAGTGGCCTTGAAGGATACCTGGGCTCGGGGCATGCTGAGGGTCTCACTCACAGCCTGGCGATAAATCTGATTATTGACACTTAAAATTGAACCCCAGAATCACTGAAGGTGGAAAAGTGCTCTGAGGTCATCGAGTCCAACCATTCCCCAGCACTGCCAGGGCCACCACTGACCCATGTCCCCAAGTGCCATATCAACAGGGCTTTTAAATCCCTGCAGGGATGGGCACTCCAACACTGCCCTGGAAAGCTCTTCCAAAGCCTTGTGGGTTTCAGATGTTTATATCCTGACCACCCTTGTGGGTTTCAGATGATTTCTATCCTCAGCAAACAAAAATATTTCCTTTAAACTATCAGCCTTCCCTGTCTTTCTGAGAAAAACACCAMAACTCATCAGACAAACCCATCATTTTCTGATTGAAGGGTGTTTTTAGGGGTCTTCCAGGCCCTCAGCTTGAAATACATTTAAAAGCACATGCACAATTACTCAGTGAGCAAAAAAAATAAATGACATTTTGTTTTTCTTCCTTTGCAGTGCCAAAAAAWCTCTGGAGTCACCCATGCACACTGCAGTTATTGCAGGATTTTTTACTCCTTCCTCCCTCGGTGCAGGCACCACTGCTTCTCGTGGAAAAATTGTGCCATTCCCACATTTTTATCCCTGATTACCTGGCATGTGTCACTGCCAGAAAAAGCTCGATATTTATTGTAAATTGCCGCAATAATAAGAAAAGTGGCTGCATTACATTTGCATTCAAATAATGGAAGGCGCAGCGTTTAATCCGAAAAGGGATTCCTGAACAAATTGTTTGCTCAGTGTGTTTCCCATACAAGCCCTGCACCGCTCCTGCAATACCCCAGCAGATAATACAGGAGATATTGTTGTTAATAATACATGGGAAACACACATCCCTCAKGAATTTCTGTGCATATTTGCTGGGTTTTCTCAGCTGGCAACACCGTCCCTTCCTTCCCCACTTCAGCGCAAAAACAAACTCTACATGTGCTCACTTACAGTTGTGCCTAATTATATAAATGTCCTAATTACACACACTTTTCAAAGTAGGTAAATTTTAAATGGTGCCATTAAGGAAATCTATTTGATGATGGAAATCTCTGCAATATCACATTGCAATCTCACACGTGGCAATTTCGCTTTCATGTCAGTATTTATTTAATGACAAATAGCGGCAGAGGATAATAGAGTTGGGAAAGCAAATTAAAGCTGTAAGATTTGCAGGGTGATGCTGGTCAGCAGATGCTAAGAGAAAGGAATAAAAGGAGTTTGGAAAAGCAGCGGATCTAAGGTAAATAATGACTAAAAAGAAGTTTTGAATGATAAATATCTTCCAAAACCACCAGATAAACACCTGCAAGGCTGACTTAWCCCTATCAGGAAATACAGAAGTCAYTGAGCATTTCATTTAAAACCACAGTTATCAGATCTGGAAATTACTTACCTGTAGTTCTGAGCATTTCAAAATAATTCCACCTGCAAGTAGGAACCAGCCCTGGGAACTCACCCAGTCAAACCCACACTGGTGAAAACCAAAGTTCTGCACAGGATTGCAGCACAWGAACCTCCTTTTTGGACCTTCTGGCTGATGTAAGAGTGGGTTTTTTAACTCTTAAGATCAAACATACACCAAAACTCAAAAAATTAACACTCCTGAGGTMATTGTTTAATGAAATAAGAATATTGATATTCTTTCAGCACTACTTAAGTTTACTGTGCTGAGGTCCCAGGTGAGTGGTTTTTTTTCCCTATAAATGATAATAATTTCTATTTTTCTGCTGCAGAWTCTGGATTTTACATTGACAAGAGCACTGGGCAGATCAGACAGCAGTGACACTGCAGGACACTAATCCCTCTGCCTTAGTTAAACAATAAAGTGGCAGGGAAGAGACAGAATCCATCTTCCCTGGAAAACGGGGAAAAATTCTCTGTACAGGAAGGAAATTGGTCAATCTCCTCTCACACAAATCCTTGTGCCACAACAAAKGCTCTCAGTAAGTCACAGACTGTCACATCTCATCCAAGACATTTATGGGATGGTTTGATAGAAGCATCCCATGAGCAGAAGGTGGGTGACCATGAGTTATCAAGCTCAATTATTGATCAGGAACATTCAGGAACTCTTGGATCTGGGATTTTGGGTGCACCTTTTGGGGTTTGGGATCCAGAGAAGCTTGAATGGCTTTTAGGATCACAAATATCTGCTCTGGTGAAGCCACACTAAATAAATCTGTAAAAGAGACTCGAAGTATTTCTGCAGAGGGAACTATTTTTCTTTCTTCATTAAAAAAAATCCCTAAAATTTGGAATTTAAAGCAACTTTGAGCAAGTTGAGCATCAGACTGAGAAGCTGCAACAGCAGCACAGAAAGAGCACAGCAAAAGGAGTGCTTTTGTGTTAATTGGTGACATCTCTGACCTTCTGCTCACATGTGGAGCAATCCCACAAYCCCAGCCCCTGCCCAGTTACCTTCTGATATTCCTCCTTGGATCTCAGGGCAGCCTCCATCTGCTCTGGGGAGAAGGTGTAGATGGCTGAGCGATACTGAGTGCCCACATCGTTCCCCTGACGCATTCCTGTGGGGAGAGAACACTGGGATCAGCCTCCATCCCTCCTTCCTTGGGGCTGGAGAAACTCCACACAGCCACATCTCTCATATTCCTACAAGGGGTTGGATTTGGAGAGACCCTAAAGTTCCTCTCATTCCAGCTCCTGCCATGGGAACCCTTCCACTGAATTCAGGATGCTCCATCCAGCTGGATAAAGCACACTCAGCAGGTGTTTTTAGGGAGTCCAAGTCTTTGGTGGAAGAGCCCTGAAGGAATTCAATGCTGGTATCTCCATTTAAATGTCATGAAAATGAAATAGGAGCATTTTACGGTTTTGCTCCATCACACAATAGTCAAATACAGATGCCAAACCCTTAAACAATTGAGCTGCAGTCACTGTGATCAAGACACTCTTAAAAAAACCTGATTTTGAATCATGCAAGTGGTTACCAAAAATGCTGATTTTACCAAGTGCTTATAATTTTTCTTGTACTGTGGGCATACAGCTTAATGGGAGAAAGGTTCACAATACCTTTGGAGAAAAATAGTTATTTTTGGCACCCCTATATTTCYCCAYCCCTAGAGGTGTTCAAGGGCARGCTGGAGGGGCAATTTTGGCACCAGGATTTTGTGATATTTCTGCTGATATGTGTAACCCTTTCAAAAGACTCCTCGTATGAAGTTGTTCATGTTCAGATTTGCAAACCATGGGATGGATTCTCCCTGGGAAACTACAAAATACTGGACCAAAGCAGAGAGATAACAACTGTCCCCTCAGGACAGGTGACTAGCCTGGCTGTGGTTTGGCATCACAATCCTGGAGAACAACTGCTGCCTCTCATCTTGTTCCCATTCCTATCCCCATTCCCATTCCCATTCCCATTCCCATTCCCATTCCCATTCCCATTCCCATTCCCATTCCCATTCCCATTCCCATCCCATTCCCATTCCCATCCCATTCCCACTCCCACTCCCATTCCCATTCTCATTTCTATTCCCATTCCCATTCCCATCCCAATCCCATTCCCATTCCCATTCCCATTCCCATTCCCATTCCCATTCCCATTACCATTACCATTACCATTACCATTCCCATTACCATCCCACTCCCATTCCCATCCCATTCCCATTCTCTCCATCCAGCTTTGCTGTGGATCACTCCATAAAGTCAAACAACAGCCTCAGAGAAGCTTCAGCACCAAGAATTATTTCAACCTGCAGTTTTGCAGTACAATGGCAGCTTTATTACCCCTGCCTTTCCCATTTTGTTCTCAATTTTCCATTCAAGAGCATAACTTTTTGCTTTGCTGGAATGAAATGTGTTAATTTTGACTTTGGTGATGTGGATGAACTTGGGGAAGTGAAGAAGATGGAGAGTCTTAAGCAGAGTCCTCCCAGACAGCTGTAATCCAAGACAAACTGGAAATCATCATTTGTGTTATGATTGCCACCAGGCTACGAAGATTCCCCATAATTCTCAGAATCCTGAGAATGGAGATGAAATGGAAAARGAAATGGGTGTCTTGATATCCTCCTAACAAATGGCAGAGGGCAAAGAAAAAAAAAAAAAACACGGTCCTGGGAGGAAAAGATGCCATCAACTCACTACTCCTCATTAAATCCTGGTTTTATCCCTCTTGGACTCCCCAGGGCAACAAAAATAATTTGAAGGAAAGGACAATAAACAAACAAAAACTGGCTGAAATATTTATGAACAACAATGCACAGAAATAKTTTAAAATATGTATTAGGAGGAGAACTCTGTACGATGACCAACAACTACACAATAAAATCTGATACCAAAACATCTTCCAGAGTTTTCTGATGATTTGGGTTATTTTTTAGCTGTTGAAATGTGTTATTATAACAAAAACAATAACAATGTTTTTCATCAATACTTAATAGTGCCAAGAGTCACCAGAGAATATTTCGCTCATTTCTTTATAAGTTCTGCCAGGGTGGAAAAGAGCTCTGGTAAAAACAGTTTGGGATAAAATGAGGACAGGCCAGACAAGCTTTAGTTTTGCCAGGATATGTTAATGCTAATTGATGTTTGAGCTTAAGCATTAACATCCTACAAATCTAYTAATTGCTTAACAAACTATTTAACAACCAGCCAGGGAGGAGATTGCCAAAATCTCTCTGAATGGAGGATCACCACACAGGGTGATGGTGTCCAGCATGAATTTAGGAGTGTACGTTTGGTACGAGCTCATGTGCATGGTGATCAGAGTGAGAAAATAAAATTATTTAACATCTGCATGTGCCACCCTGATACAGGAACAGAGAGCCAGTCAGTTTAATTAATTTATTGAAGAGGAGGTTAAGAGGAGAGCTGACTCGAAATTTAAAATACATTTATAGAGGAAGAAAAACAATAGAGAAATTAGGTTCTTCAGTCTCACCAAAGCTGTTTAACTTGGCAATTGAAAGCCAAAGTATCCAAAATCCAGATGGCAAAGAGCACAACATTCAAGCAGCTGAGCAGTTCTCCCTGGAACAATGCACCTGAAGCTACATTTCACTCCTGAGAGCTTCAATTGAGGATTTMCATTTTCACAAAGTGATARAACAGTTTGGGTTGGATGGGACCTTTAAAACCACCCAGTTYCAYCCCCTGCCATGGGCAGGGACACCTTTCCCTATCTCCAARCCCMATCCAGCCTGGCCTTGGACACTTCAGAAGGGCAGAATCTCCCCCTCCCCTRCTGCSCACAGTGGAGGATCAGCCCAGGATTGTAAAATTCCACGATTTTTAATAACTGAGTGGTAAATTTAACGAGTCGGGTGTGGGATAACAGCAGCCCCTTCTCAAACCCAAACGTTGGTTTCAGCTCTTAAACAATCCACGAGGAACAGACATTGCAAACATCTCTCCAAAATGTAGCTTTACTGTGACCAATGATCTAACCCAAATTTTCCTTTATTTCTCCTTGTTGTTTAAATTGTTTCATATCTAAATCCCCTGCAATAGGGAGTTAACACATTGCCTAATCCCCTCAGACTATCAGATAACAGAGTAAATTCCACGTGTGCAGAGATAACCCAGTGCCACTGCTGCTGTTGCTGTTTTCAATGAACCTCACACAGACAAACACCTCAAGGGTCCATCACTGGGGTTTTAAACCCTCTGACAAGTCTGACTTGCTGAGATTCACAACTCAACAAGTAGCAAACAAGACAAGAAATTCAATTTTCTAAACAACTGTGGGAGGATGATTGAGTTTAACAGCCTCGTCTTTGGAAAAAAAAAAAAAWAGTGAATAAAAAGCAACCTCTGCTTGGCTCTTTAAAAATCCCACAATGTGTCTGTTCTCAAACTCTTAACTGGAAGAAGGAATAATTCAGCTGAACATCTCCAGAGCAGCTGGATTTTCTAGGGAGGTGCTGGTTGTGTCTGCAATTGTTCTGTGAGATGTCTTGAAGTCGTTCTCTGTGCAAAACCTGCCAATTTAGGGATGGTTTTTACGGTAGCTCCACGAGATCAACCTTTTCCTCAAGGATAATAGGGAAATCTGTCAGTAGGTCTTGAACTTCCCTTTCATTCAAGACTCAGATTTTTTAAGATTTTTAGAAATTTTCTAAAGATTTTTAAAGATTTTAAGGTCATTTATTAACCTTTCCTTTTAAAGATTTTAGGAAAATTTATTAACCTGAGGAATCACAGAATCGTTGAGGTTGGAAAAGCCCTCAGAGATCACTGAGTCAAACCATTCCCCAGCACTGCCAAGGCCACCACTGCCCCATGTCCCCAGGTGTCACCTCCACATGGATTTTAAATCCCTCCAGGGATTTAAAAAAAAAAAAAAGCTGCCTCCTGGGCAGCTGTGCCAGGGCTGGACAACTCTTTCCATGAAGGAATTGTTCCCATCCAGCTGTATTTTAGTTTGGAAAAGGCAAATCCTGCGCCCATGACCAGGTGGTCAGGAACACGTCCAGCAGGAACAGGAACAAACAGATCCCAGAGGTAACAGCCTGGCACTCACTGGTGACACCTGAGATGAAGAAAATCAGCTGATCTGCTGGGAACAGCCAGAAAATCTTTTGTCAAAGAGATGTTTTCACAGAGAGGTTGATTTAGAACTGATAGAAAAGCCGAGAATTTGCACCTCTCTGGCCAGAGACAAAAATAYGTGGGTTTTGGATATGGTTGYGTGGTGCCAAAGGGTAAAAAATTCMAAATTCCAAAAGCCCAAACCCTGTGTGAACACTGGGCTGTCACTGTGAGCTCTTGTTGTTGGAGAACCTGCGAAGATGAGGGCATCTGGAGCTCCAAATGTGTTTAGATGTTGGGCAGGGATCATAGTCAGGAATTTCCCTCTGGCTGACCAAAGCAGCTCACAGAGCTCAGCCCTGAGCACTCTGGAGAACACAAAATGTCCTGACTGTGCCAGCAGAACACAGGGCACAAATCAACCACAAAACACCCTCRAGAGCTGAGCTCTGCTTTATATGAAACTGGTGGCCAGAGGGTGGTGGCGGCTGGAGAGAACAGGAAGCTGGGATGAACCCCCAGATCCTGTCCAAATAACCATTCCCAGATTGAGATTTCCAGGGAATGCAAACACGTTGACACCAGGAAAGCTGTTACTGGCCAAAGTGGAGATAACAGGCAAAGAAATGGCTCTAAAAATTCCCTTTTTGACCAACACTTTGGTGTCTTCTGATGCACCTGGGTAGGAGTGATTTGGGTTTGGTCTCCTCCATATTTTTTGGCAGCAAACCAATAAATGTTGGTTGGAATGGCTGGAAATGGACTGGAAGATGAACTTCCCATCCCTGGAAAGTGTCTAAGGCCAGGCTGGACAAGACTTGGAGAACCCTGGGACAGTGGAAGGCATCCCTGCCCATGGCCAGGAGTGGAATAARATTATTTTTTAGCTCACTTCCAACCCAAACCATTTCGTGATTCTCTAAAAAAAACAGATATCCCAATATGATTTTTTTCTTTAGAAACTGCAAACAAGCAAATTTGTTTCCAAACCATTTTGAGATTCAAACCATTTTGAGATTCTTTAAAAAAACAG